TAATATGACTGAAAAAGAGGTACCCTCCAGAGACCACCTAATCCAGCAGTCACCAAATCCATCTTTCCCAACAAATTGTCTCCAAGAGTCTTCAAGAGAGTCTTCAATAAAAACTAGTGGTGCGTCTACAGTGACAGAAGTTTCAAGAAGTAATAAAATATCTTTTGATATTCTGAGTATAAAAAATTCAGATGAACAAGGTCATTTTCCTGACAAAGACTTAAGTTTTTCAACTGACACAATATCTCCATCCCAACCAGAGTTGCCAACCGGAAAGAGTATATTTTCTTTCCTGACTGGATCCGAAAAATCTGAGAACAGAGCCTCTGCTACTCTACCAAGAACCAAATCTCAAGCAGAAGGGCTATTCACACTTCCTTCCTTTTTTTCCACTACCAATTCAAGCATCAAGAAGGATGCCTCTCATAGTAGCTCTTTTAGTTTGTTCAGCTTGTCCTTTTTGGATGAAAAACAGCAGATTCCTGGGGAAAGGCATAGCCTTTCAACTGTTTCTCCAGTGACTTCCCAGCCTTGTAAGAAGCCAAGTGTTATTGTAGACATGGGTGGCACAGTGAATGAAGGTTCCAATGGCAATAGAGATAGCATAGTCCAGGAGGTAGTTCATGAACAGCAAATGGCTCCTTGTGTTTCCATTAGCAGCGTCATTGAGGTTACTTTCCTTGAAGATGAGCTCAATGTCGGGGTGGACTATCAAGGAAAACTAGGGTCCAGTAATGGATCAAGGATATCTTTAGCAGATTTCCAGTTGAATCAGTTGCAAAAAGACATTATTCCTCATTCACCAGAATTTCAGAGACAGACTGAAACACTGCTTATTGGTCCAGAGACCTTTGGGGTAGCTTCTCATGAAGAAGATTTCATACAGGAAGCCTTCCCCAGTGGCTTACTGGCCAAGTCTTTTGCACATGATAGCCATTTGATAGAGAAGCTCAACAATTTAGACACTTGCACTAACCACTACCAAAATGAAAGATTTTCTAATGACCCATTGAACTTGCCATTAGAAAAGGCCCCTATTGAGATCTTAACACAGATCCTGGAGCCAACCTCTTCCTCTGCAGAGCCAGGGTATGCAGGGCACCTCCAGAGCCAAGACACAGATAAAGAGGAAAACAAACCAGTGTTGGGCTCTTCAGTAGGAATGCTTTCAGGGTTTGTGACCAAAGTGAAATCTTTCTCTGGCAGCTTAATTGAATCTCCCAAAACTTTCTCTGGATTTTTCTCCTTTCCTAAATCTCCAAAGAAAAACTCCTTTTTCTCTCTCTCTTCTGGTACATCATCTCAGCCACTCACAGGTGAGTTATTTGGAATTTTCAAAAGTCCCAAACCAGAGACATGCAAACAAGAATCACCTGTCCCAGCTACTGCACGGTTTCACAATGGTAGTTCCAGAAATGCTGTAGGATTAGTACCTCCAGAAAATTTGTGGAGAGAGGCTGCTTCTGCATCATTCAATTCAGAAGCTACTCTCGGTGACTATAGAATGACTGTGGTTAATGCAAAGTCAGACTCGGAAACCTTGACAGATGGTCTAAAACTAATGACTGAAATGGAAAACAATATTCTGGACAATATTCCAGAACCCCGGGGTTCTGAAACAATTGCGGCTGCACCTTCAGTCTCAGGGGATGATACTGGGCAAGGAGTATTACCTTTGAGTGATGAAGGAGACGTGGGGGTGTTGCAGGGGACAGACACAGAGGCATCATTTGAAGCAGAGCATATTTCATTGCCACCACAGTTGCATCCAGATCCTACCTGGATTGCCAAGGAGCTTCCTTCTCCAATTCACCCACCTCTTCCTCTTGAGCCGAAGCCAGCTATGCAATCTGCCTCCACAAAACAAGATGTCTTAGAGCTACAGGCAACCAACTCACTGCAAGCCAATACTACTACACTGCTCAATGAGGCAAGTTCAGTTGGCCAGAGTGCCAAATTGGAAACCCAAGGGTCCCTTTCTCACTCTCTGGTGGAGGAACCTGTGCTGTGTGCCAAAGAAAGTTATGGGATGTTTGATGCCCAGGAAGATCCATCTGCAGCCCCCCAGGAAACAGAGCAGCCAATACCACATTTTGAGATCCCAAACATCACCAATTGGCCAAAGCTTCATTTCCCATCCTCTGCTACTGTCTGTGGGAAACCACTGAGTTCTTTCTTTTCCCCACCTTCTTCCTCTGGCAATAGGGCAGCAGAGACTGGTTTAAAGTCCAGTTTTAAGAAGTTGTCAACTCTGTTTGAGGGAGGTAATGAGGGAAAAGGCAGTATAGTGGCAAGTGATCTCAAAGTGAGGTTTGAAAAGAAGCTGGATCTTTTATTCCCAAGGCCAAAAGAGCGAAAAAGGGACCCTGAACAAATGTCTACAGAACCCTCTGCTCCAGTTTTGGTTATCAGCAGTTATCAGGACCTTAATTCCAGTGAGGCTGGCAAAGCTTTGGAGTCTTCTCAAATGTCTAGGGCCAGTGCTGAGCCACCTAAGGTCTCTAGTCAGCTCTCTGTGACCTCTGAGCAGCTGGAGGCCAAGACAAGGATATGTGCTCATGGGCTTTCAGGGCCTGGAGAAGTGGAAAACCAGCAGGAAATCCCAGCTTCTAGAGAAGACGGGGGTTCCAAAGGTAACCTCCCTGGTCTCACCAGTCCTTCAGGGAATCATGAGGAAGAGCACTGCACTGTCTCTGAGCTACTTCACCAGCCAGAAACACAAGAAGAGAAGGCAGCGCCTGCTAGCACTGACTGTGTTTTGAATGTACAGCTGTCAGTTACTCCACATGGCACTGAGGAACCAAAGACCAGCAAAAGGCCTGTTCTCAACTAAAGCATCATAAATGGTTTTAAAGAATTGACCATTTATGATGCAGTGACTTAGTGGTAGATTAGTCACAGCCTGCTTTCTATCCTTCCTGTGTCTTTCCTAGCACCCGAGCTTCATGTTAATTAGAGGTCAAGTAACAAGAAATAATGTGTGGGTCTTTTCATCCTCTCCCTTCTCTCTAGTGCCAAATTTAATTTATTGGAACAAGGAGCTTCCTACTTAAAGGAAAGGCTAGGCCGTAAAATTTACTCACTTTGATTTGCTCTGCCTTATATAACATGGGATGAAGGGGGAGTAGGAAGAGGCAACAAGTAGTTGAGTAGCATATATTAATTACAACCACATGATGGGCTAGGATGCTTCTTTGGGCCTTCGGCACTTATATCTGTAATAGCTGGAGAGAGACCCACTTTGCTTCCCTTTCCCAAGCCTTCTAAGATGCTTTCTCCAGTGGCAATGAAGGTACTAAGTAAAATACGAAGTACAAAGGATGGCTTGGGATAATCTCTGTCCTATATCCTCTTCCACATGGATTGGCACAGCTTCCAGTCCATGTCTTTTACTATCCATGAGACTGGTGTCTGATACGTGCTTTGAGTAAAGTCTCACAGGAGCTCAGGGCTATTGCTTGCTGTAGTTCTTCAGTCTGGACCATTGTTCAGGGTCTATCTGCAAAGGGTACTATTATTTCTCCTAAGAAGAAACACCATGCAGTGCAGTTTAAGAATGATGCTTTGACCTCTGGCCGAAAACTGTCCAAAGGAGCCAGTCAGGGGCTTTAGAGATGTGTGTGTGTGTGTGTGTGTGTGAGAGAGAGAGAGAGAGAGAGAGAGAGAGAGAGAGAGAGAGAGGTATTGTGTGTGTGTGTATGTGTGTGTATGTTGGGAACTACTCAGAACAGTGACCTGGTTTTTGTTCAGCTGTCATGAGATGAAGGATCAGAACTCAGCCTGAAAATACCAGGTACTTGGGAGGAACCATAGGGAAAATATCATGGGAAACAACCATTTATCTTCATTTGGCCCAGAGTAAACATAAGCCCTTTAGTTGAAGGCTTGACCCCCTGGTAAGGAAATTCCTTGTCCTTTTGCATGGAGGCTTTTCAGCAGGATACTAGAAGTAAAATGAAGGCTCCTGACTTGGATGGAACTATCCAAATGGGCTGGGATAGATCTTGTAGATCGTCACCAAGTCCCTCTATATTGAATAGATCGGAACCCCTTAGATTCAGTATATGGCTGAAGGGAGTAACTTCTGGATTCTGTTCTTTCTGGCCATGATTCACTGCCACACTCTCTGCTACAGCTGCTCTCTCTCATAGCAGGGAAACACATTTCCTTTCTGGGTATGGGAATTCAGGTGATTGGGAGAGGGTTGGGCTGGCCTCTCTTCAGGTACAGAAATTCATTAATATGGCCCTGACCTAGGTCCTGGAATTAGACTTTGTCCACTCTATCCAAAATTAAGCTATGTCCTGGGAGCAACTCAGTTACAGATGGGGAAGTTTATTGTTGGGACATTCTGAATGCTTTCAGGATATTGTAACATTCATGAGATGAATGGCCAATGAAATCCCGAGGAATTTCTTGATCCTAACCGCTATCTCCCAGTGGCTTCCATTATCTTACTGTGCAGATGGCTGAGAGATAACTGAAGGAACATGTCCAGTGTCCTTTGCTCATCCTAAGGCATTAGCATTCACATTTACAACTGTAGAGGAAGGAAAGGGGACCCCAATTTAACAAATAATAGCAAAAGGAAGTAGAGTTCATCCATATTACTAGGTGGAAATTAGGAAACTTTAATCATAGCCACTGGACAAGTTTCATTAGAAGTCTGGGTAAAGAATTTTAGGCTTTTAACAATAGACTTTTAAATAATTTTTAATCTACTTATAAATATCACATTAAGATGAAGTGTTCTTCAAAGTCAATTGCTGGTTTGAGGTTAAGTGCTGTTTGAGAACCCAGCATGTGTTTTTTCCTTGTTGTGACTGCTGAGTAGAGACTAGTTCTTCTAGATTGTAAAGTTTGGTCCTCCTTTCCCAGGAACCTCCTGTTTGTGATTCTTGCCACTGATACAATTATTAGTTTCTGGATTAACCTATTACTTTTGCCCTGGTCCTTAGTTTGCATTTATTTACTCATCTGTCTTCCTCTCCTTCTCATAGCCCCACCAGCAGTAGTAGGTATGGTTCCTCCTGTAATGTGAGCCAAGGAAGCTCTCAGCTGAGTGAACTAGACCAGTGTCATGAACAAGATGATGACCATCGGGAGAGGGACTCCATTCATTCCTGCCACAGCTCTGGTAGCTTCTCCAGAGATGGCCAAGCGGGTTTTGGAGAACAAGATAAAGCCTTGGAGGTGACTGGTGAAGAAGAAAAGGGGAGAGCATGTGAACTCAAGGAGATGAAAGATGTCACAACCCATCCTACCCCAGATCTGGTGCTACACAAAGACCATGTCCTAGGCCCCCAGGAAAGGTAGGTGATGACTGCCTTGAGGAGCTCAGTATCTACCCTGTTATATTGCTAAATATAAGTGCTTTTCATTTTCTCCCCTACAGTTTGGATAGGTGGTGATCAGGATACTGAGGCTTAGCTCTACATTGCTTCCTTTGATTTTTGGTGTAAGACTCAAGATATTTTGAGGATCTCTTAAGAATACTTGGGACCTTTGTAGTTAGCTACAGTGTACCAGGCTTTTTTGAATCTGCAGTTCTTGGCTTACTAGTTGACCCTGCATATGGCAGCCACCAGGTCTGGAACTGATCTGAGCCCTGCAGATTATTTAATTCAGAGGAACTGCTTAGAATGAGATAGGCTTACCAGCATATTAATGTTTAAAATTATTTTGTTAACATTACTTTTTGTTTGTTTGTTTTCCTGGCTGAGAAAAGTAGGACTGAGTTGAGATAGAATTGATATCAAAGCCAGATCTAATCCATCCCTCTGCCTCCCCAAGGCCTAGCAGTGTATCTGACAGTTGGTACTCATAAGAAAATTTTTAAATGTGTCCTTTTAACAGTCTTCTAATGAAACTTAGTACAGAGTTTTAGTGTTATTATTGAGCTAAATTGGTCAGTAATGTTGCTGATAGGTTGGGGCAGAGCATGGTTTCTCAGTCTTGGCATTACTGATAGATAACTCTTGGGGCAGGTAACTCTGTAATGAGATGCGATTGTGTGAATTGTAGGATGTTTAGTAGCATCCCTGATCTGTACACACTAGATGCCAGTAGCAACCTTCAGTGTGATAACCCAGAATGTTTCCAGATACTGTCAGATTTCCCCTGCCCCAGTTGAAAACCGCTTATCTAGTGATAAGGAGTAGGTGTGACTTAGATTCCCAAATGTCAAGGTATAATAATAAAGCCTCTCACTGAAAGATTAGAGCAAGGAATGCTGATTACAAGGTAAGAGTTAGAGAATGGTTGGTGTGTCAACTCCACCACTGAAGGTATAAACATATTTTCTTTTTTCCTTACTTTTTCCTGATCTTTAGTCATCTCTGGTGGCTCATCTAATAGATGAAACATCCAGCTTCAGACTGAGCTCTGGACCAGCTTTTTACTGGGTTGACAACCCACTGAAAGATGGCTCTTTGTAGACCTTATGTAACTGGAACCAAGGTTCTGCTGCCTCCCGCCATGAAAGCCAAACTCATAAGACAGATGCTGGTGAAAAGGAAAGAGGTTTATTCAAGTGCCAGTAACCTGAGAAGATGGATGACTTGTCGCCAAGCCCATTTTAGCATCTCATCGTAGGCAGGGGTTTTTATAGGGAGGAGGAGGGAAAGCAGAACAAAGAGATCAGGAGGAAGGGCTTTGGACATGCAGGCAGTATCCTTGCTGGTCCTGATATGGATCTTTAATGTTAGCATACTGGAACTGGTCAGTGCTAGCCAAATTCCTGCAGTTGGGTAATCTGCATCAACTGCAGTTGCAGTCAAGACTGTTTCTTATACAAGCAGGAACTGGAACTGCTGATGCCTGCAATATGCTTATAAGGAAACTGTCAGTATGTAAATTTCTTTTATTAGTTTGTTAGTACATTTTATTCTATTTCATGGTTAGTCAGAGAGTATAAAGTTTTTATTCCTGTTAAACTTAGACTTAGCAGTTACTGTTGTCTGGGTAGAGTTCTTCATAGAACAACAGAAGTGACCAGCATGAGTTTTTGTCCTTCTTTACTGGCTGTGTCCTCTCAGATCCTAGCTGTGCAAACGAAGTCCAGTTCTACCTTGGCCAGAGGGCCTGCAAATGGTTTAGAACAATTAACCCAGTTAGATCACATTAAGAGCCCAGCATATATATTTTACATATCTAGATGGTAGACACTTGTTTGTTGCCTTGGCAGTATACCACAGTGAGAGACAGGAGAAGCATTATCACCAAGAATCAACCACTATTCCACAGTTAAGGAACCTGGATGATGACTTGTTCTAATACAGGGTAGTATTTCTGTCTCAAAGCTGCTTTGTTATATCTATTGTTCATTTCACTGAGGGTGTTCCTGAGGCAGCTCAAGGAATAAGATCATGGCAGAAAAAGGGCTGTTTTTTTTCTTACCACTTTTGATGTAGTCTAGGAATTGGTAAGCCTTCCATAATACGTAGTGGAGCAGAAAGGATTTTCAGGGACAAAATTCTGCCCTAAGGATGCTATGTAGAACCCCCAAGGGAGACTGTTGGTCTTGAGAGGTGAGGTGAGAGAGTTATTACACACCTCTCTGCATAGTTTTAATTCTAGACATTGACTAAGGGCCCTTGTCATTGCTACTAGTGTCCTGATCCCTGACTGTCCCAGTGAGATGCCTCATTGGGTGGGTGAAGAAGGGGGAAGGAAGAGGAAGAACAGATGAAAAGCTCAAAGGAGTTGTCATTTCAGAGAGGATTTTTTTTCACATTAGATATTCAGGATTATGCTGTTTTAGTGGCCTGAATCACTAAACAAGTATAGGCATGAATATAAACCATTTTATTTTAGATATATGGCAGTTTTGCCTTGAACATTGTTACCTTGTGGCCTGGGCTATTTTTAAGGAAATTTTTTTTTTTTTTTACAAGTTTTCCTGAGGAGAAGGCATCTTCGCCATTTACCCAAGCCAGAGCACATTGGATTCGAGCAGTTACCAAGGTTCGACTCCAGCTGCAGGAGGTAGGAAATCTATTGCTCTAATACTAGCTGGCATAATTTTTCCCTTTGAAATTGGTAGACATATGGTGCTAAAGCAGCATTCAGTGATTAGTCATCTTCTTAGTGCGTTTCTGGGAATGTATGACAAGTAAGCTAGAGCCTTAAGAGATGATGGGAGGTGGCCATAGTCTTCCTTCTATGCTGATTAATGAAAATCAAATAAACCTAGTGGGTCAAGAGTCTGAAGATAAAGTTATATGCTATTTTTAGTACCATAATCAGCCAAATGGTAACTTTCTATTTCCGTTATCCTTTCTACATTCATTAATTGGCATTCTACTATAAGAAAGAGGTATCCCTTTTCTCCCATCAAATTATATCAGTGTGGACTCAAGGATTCCTAATTTATTACATGAATTCCTTACTATCATTTATTTTGATGGTCAAATTTTTTCTACCTTTGTATAAGCATTGTTAATATTACCCTTCAGCAAGAAGATAATGTTTTAAAAACTATTAAAAAAGTAGCTGCTTTGGAAAAAGCATTTTCAATACAGATGTTTGAAAATGCTTCCTTTTGTGTGTGTGTGTTCTTTTGTTATCAGGAACAATGAGTGTTACCTATAAAAACTCATAACTGCATGTTCTAAAATCTTGGAAAGAGGCCAGTAATGTATTAAAAACCTTTCTAATGAAAAGTTCAGTGAGGTTGGAACTTATTTGTTAAAAGTATAAAAATATTTCTGACTATTTTGTAAGACATTAGAGAAGATGAAAACTGCCAAATGTCAACAAAATCTTTAAATAATTGGTATGTAGGAAATAATTGTACATTTTTCATTTGACTGATGTATCAGTATCTTTCTTTAGCTGTGACAACTATGAAAACTAAGTATTGAAATAATTGAATGTGGAACTAGGCTTTCAAATCATTCTATAACTAACTGTTAAACTAAGATTTCAAAAATAATGAAGCATATTGTATCACTTTGCTTTCACTAAAGATATTACTACTGCTAATACTTTAGTGAGAGCAAAAAATATTTTTTGTATCATTAACAAATCTTAAATGTTTCTTTTATGCTTTTACATTAAAATTTTTATATTGTATTGAATATATTAATACAATTATACATGTATATAATTTTTAAATGAATATACACATATTGAGAGATGTATGCTAAAACAAATTTTATCAATAAGGGCTGCTAAACCATAAACATTGGGAGTCTTTTGACCTAGACTGAGGTGAGATAAACATTTAGAGTGAAAGTTTATGGAGTCAATGTCATAATATTTATTAATATTTTATTTCTAAGTTTTCAGAAGTACGGGTCTTGCAATTCTTATATAAAGAAAAGTAAAATAAATAACCTTCACATAAAAGAAAAGTCCTGAATGAGAAAAATAAGAATACATATTGGATCAGAAACAGTTTGTTATAACTTTTTCTTTTTAAGAGACGATTCAGAGTCTCTCAAAAAGAATACCTAAAAAGAATTGCCAAAGCTTGGAATTATTTAGGGAAAATTATGGTTCATTTATGAGTAATTAAGAACCATTGCCACTTTATTGAATAAGGGAACAATTATAAATATATTCTTAACACAAGTAATGTAACTGGAAGCTGATTAAGTGTTGCCAAGAGAAGAAAGGCAAACCAGAGTTCAGAGAAAGATTTGATAACAGTTTAAGATAGAAGCAGAAGTGCACCATTTATACTCAAGATGAGATTTTTGCTGACGGATTGTTTGAGGTTGTGAGACAGTAAGAAGTATGACACCAAGGATTTTACCCCTGAGTAGTTGGAAGTTGCATCTAGTCACCCCTTAATGTTCTCCCCGGGATAATATTTTTGTTAGTTTCTTATTATTCTAGAATTTCTTGATGCAAGTGTAAGCAAATATGAATATATATTCTAATCTTCCCCCATTTTATTTTTTTTTTACAAAAGTGGTATATTATACACACTGAGAACATCTTGCTTTTTCACTTAGAGATTCTTCTGTATTAGCTCTAAGGGTACTTTTCTTTTTAAAACAGCTGTATAATATTCCACTGTATAAATATACTACAAGTATATAAGTTTTCTCTGTGTTTATTTGGTTGTTTCCAGTCAATTGTTATAAGTGAGTACCTTTTACATATGTCATTTTTCATGTATGCATGTGTATCTGAGGGGGGATATACATTTGTAATTTTGATATATATTGCCAGATTGTCCGCCATTTGTCAGTGGCTTAAAACAACAAAGGTTTATTTTACTTATGCTGCTTGTCATGCTATATGTTCTTAAGTTCTGCTTTAAGTGTGTTTTCTCTGCAATCCAGGCTGATGGTGTATCCTGCACCTAGAACATTACCAGTCTTGGTGGTAGGGGGAAAGAAAGGATAACAAATGAAAGAGAGAATAGCAAATTGCACTCTGGCTCTTACAACTTCTGCCCAAAAGATACAATATGTCACTTTTGCTCACACTTCCCTGACTAAAGCACATCATAAAGCCATATTTAATTTCAAGTTAATAGTGCTTAAAAAGATAGGGAAGGATTTGTGAGCAGTTTAATGACTACCCCAAAGGGTGTCTACCTTCAACAGAGATTGTATTGATTTAATCGTAGAATAATAGTACTTTTTCTTTTAGAATTATAAATTATGTATTAAAACTATGACTTAAAAAGAGGAAACCAGAAAAAAGTATACTAACAATGTCTCCACATTGCCTTCATGATGAAATAAAACTTTTTTTAAAATCTGACTGCAGTGTGAGTTTTTATTTTTTATTTTTTTAATCCTCACCAGAGGATATTTTTTCCATTGCTTTTCAGAGAGAGTGGAAGGGAGAGAGAGAGAAACATCGATGTGAGCGAGACACATGGATTGGTTGCCTTCTGCATGCACCCCAACTGGGGCCAGGAATCAAGCCTACAACTGAGGCATGTGCCCTTGGTCACAATCAAACCTAGGACCCTTCAGTCTGCAGGCTGACACTCTACCCACTGAGCCAAGCTGGCTAGGGCTAAAATAAAACTTTTGTGATCCAGCTCAGTGTAGTCCATGGACCAACACTCCAGGAAGTTTGTTTCTAGTCTTTGTTGAAATAATTACTGGAATTGAAAATGAACATTTAGAGGCAATTTGGATTGCTGGACATCAATCACATGATCAATGGTCTCATTTCATTGAACAGGGAGGGTGTAGACCAAAAATGCCAGTCTATATGACATATTGGGAATAAAAAAACAGATCCCTCACAAAAAGTATTTGAAAAGCCCCGATATAGAACCAATATGCCTTTGCAGTCTTACCTCTTTCTACCGTTCTGTTTCATCAATACTTCTAACATATAAAATTATTTATTTTTCAAATTCTCAGAGACTTTATACTTGCTGTTTCCCAGACATGAATACATAGAATATATTTTCTTTTTCATCACCTAGATCACTTTTTTTAAAATCATCACCCGAGACTATGTTTCTTTCTTTCTTTCTTTCTTTTTTCTTTTAGAGAGAGAAGAAGGGAGGGAGGGGGAGAGAGAGAAACATCAATGTGAGAGACAAACACTGATTGGTTGCCTCCCGTATATGCCCTGGGGACCAAATCCGCAATGTGCCCTGACCAGTAATCAAACCCGAAACTTTTTTTGGTGTATGGGATGATGCTCCAACCAACTGAGCCACCTGGCCAGGGCCACCTAGCTCACTTTTCATTCACATCTTTTAAAACCCACTCAGGTGTCAGTTTTTTTGCATAAAGCTTCCAGGCTCTGTGCATACATTTTCTAGATTGGCATTTGCCATGATGTAATGGAGTTACTTGTTTGCTGTTATGTCTCACTTCTCTGTGTATTTGTAAGATTCTTAAATGTTGGGGCTATACTTTTTATTGCTGGTGTTCTAGAGCCCAGTGTAGAACCTAGCAGAATATTTAGCCAATCTTTTATGGATGCTTAACTAGCCAGAAAAGTCCATCAGCATTTCCACAGAAGTTTCCCTGTGCTTCTTTATCTTCTCTTAATTATTCCTATTTTTATTTTTCCCAAAGCAAGAACCTAAAGCCAATAACAGCAAAATATTAACTATTAAATTAGCTGTGTTTTTAAATATAATTTTCATGTACATGAATATAAAGTTACTGAATCCAGACCATATTATGTGTGGATTTATATTTTTTATCATTTAGATTGTTTTTTTGAGCTTTAATCTGGGTTATTAAATATTTTTGAAAACATGATTTAATGATTATTAATAAATTAATATTCCATCAGGTAGATGTTCCATATAATTTCTCTTGTTTCTTTACTAAAATCAATAATGCTGTTATGAATATCATTATGTATAAGTCTGTTTTAATTTCTGATTATTTCTTTAACTTAGCTTTCTCAAAGTAGTCAAATAAATTACTGAGTTAAAGCCCGGCCGGGCGTGGCTCAGTGGTTGAGCGTCGACCTGGGATCCAGGCGATCAGGGTTCGATTCCCGGTCAGGGCACATGCCCGGGTTGTGGGCTCTATCAATGCCTCTCTCATCATTGATGTTTCTATCTCTCTCTCTCCCTCTCCTTTCCTTTCTCTGAAATTAATAAAGATATATTTAAATAAATAAATAAATAAAATAAAATAAATTACTGAATTAAAGAGTATATACCTTTTAAAGGCTTTTGATAAACTTCTAGATGTGTTTTCAGAAAAAATTTCCAATTTGTACTTTGAGTACTTGAATATGCTGCACCAACATTATTATCATTTTAGAAATATTTTGCCAATTTGGCAGAATAGTGATATCTCATTGTTTTAATTTGCATTTCTTTGATTATTTGTGAATTGAATATATCCTGTAAGTTTTATAGGACACTTATACTTCTTTAGCTGATACTGCATTCCGTAGACTTTGAGAAACTACCGTAGGAACCTATCTACCCTTATGCTATTCCTATAAGAGTGTTAGCAACTTGAGGGAAGAGATCATATAGGTCATCTCTGTATCTGGGCTAGCTGAGTACCTGGCCATATGTACTTAATAAG